AAAAAAATAATTTTTTTTTATTTAATCTAGTTAAAAATAATTAAAATATTAAAGATATGTTTGATATTGTTATTACTTATTCTATCCAGTCCGTCCAACCAAACAATGGATTCACTAAAAATAGTTATTTCTTGACATCTAATCCCATGAGAAAACAAACACGGGATATATGTTTAATCCAACCAAATAGTCCGGGAGATTCACAGTCCCAAGATTCAAGTCCGATGAATTCTAATCCCCCCTTATCCAGTCCGTTCAATCAAACACACCCTTAGTGCTGAGGTGTCCCCCATCTATTGGATTACTCTTTTGTCAATTTCAATAAAATCTAGAGTAAACAAATTATTAATAATATGATTCAACACTTAAAATTAAATTGATTAAGTGATAATCAATTAAGTCAATTTGATAATCACAATTGATATCATTTAAAAATTTAAGTGCCTCTTAAAATATAAACCAAAATTTAGGTTATATTAAACTTATTTAATTCTGACTGAATATATAAAAACGAAACATAAGTATTGATATATACTATTATAAACTTATAATCATCATCGTTACCATTACCAACATTATCATCCACCACCGCTATCACCACCACCACCACCACCACCACCATGCTACCGCCATCATGTCGCCACTACCACTGCTATTACTACCATTACTACTACCATCATGCCACTGCCATTGCCACTGCCACTATCACTACCACTACGTCACCGCCATTGCTACAGCTAGCACTACCAACATTGCTACCGTTGCTGTTGTCACTACCACTACCATTACCATTACCACTACTACTACCACCACCACCACAATAATATAAAAATTAAAATATACAATTTGTAAATAATAAATTTCAAATTTAATCTTATACATATTAAATAATTTATTTTTAATTCAACATTTAAATTTTTATCAAATAGTTTTTCAGCTTAAAAAATTCAATATTCAGTCTTTAATACTTACGATGTGTTTGGTAACGTTTACGTTTTCAGTTTATATTTACAAAAATTTTACAAACTGATTTTTATTTATTTTTAGAAAAATATAAACTATAAACGCGTTTGGTAATTGACAAAATGTTTTAAAAAATTTAAAAATATAAAAAAGAGTGAGAAATGACAAGTGGTGGCAAGTGGCGGCGGATAGGAACCTTAGACATCAAAAAACAATTTTGTGGATCTCTTCCATTATAAAAAGTGGGAGAGGGACCTTAGACTAATTTTTCCTATATTATATTATCTCTAAATTTTATTAGCTTTTAAAATTTAACATTTACAAAATTAAAAATGGCTAATATTCATTTATTTTGTTTAGATTAGTTTTAAGAAGTGTTGCAAAAGTATGTGATGTAATAAAAACATGAAAGGGAATCCTCTCCATTTTATATTTGTAATATAAATATTTCATTACATTATCTAATGGTATGTAGTGATCTATTTTTTTTCAAATAATTATAAATTTACATTCCTAATTTAATTACATACATGAGATGAATTGGAGATGATCAAATTCCAAGGAAGACTCCTATTTAGCTTCGAGTGATGTTAGAGACTTTTAAAATATGATTCTTAAATTTATTTATAATAATATGATATTGCTTGGGTGTTAGATTTTGATCTTTAAACTAATCAATAACTAATATTGATTAGTCTAAATTATTGTAAGTAAATTTAAAAGTTTTATTTTTCTTTTTATTCATATCACAATTTTTTACAATACGAACAAGAAATGAAATATTGATTGTTAAATATATTATTAACAATAATGCCTATACTTGCCTTATGTGCATATTATATTATTATGTTTACCATAATATTAGTATAATAAATTTCATCACTAATGTATATTTTCAATATAGTGTTGACAATTAAATTCATACAAAAAAATATAATGATAAAAATTAATAATCATTAGTATTACTCAATTTTCTTTTTAATATTAATCACTTTATTTGGTTTCAAAAAATTGAGCACACTTATTAAAAATTTAATTTTTTTATTTTTTCATATCTTTTTGTTTTTAGTTAAAAATATAAAAATATACTATATTTTCGTATTCTTATGTATTTATTAAATTTTTTGAATAGTTTTTCACAAATACTTTACTTTTTATGTGTAGCTAAATTATGTGCATTTAGAAAATAAAAAATTTACTTAAAATATTTAAAAAATCACTAAAAAGAAATTTGAAAAATAAAAATTTTAATTTTTCAAAAATTAATCAAAACCACAAAAATTTAATTATAAAAAATTATACTAAAGTGGCCCAATGACATTTATCCATGGCCTTGTATTTCCTCCTACAACCCCGGTTGGTAGATCGAAAATTCGTGGGTCGAATGGGTCGAAAGATCAAAACGACGTCGTTTTGATCTTTGTATTTTTTTTATTTTTTTTTTCAGCAGAAGGAAGAAGAAGACGAGGGGAGGAAGAAGGAAGAGGAGGGGAGGGGGCCAACAAACTCGGGGCTGAGGCAGGGGCGGAGGTGTGGCGGCGAGGCAGAGGCAGAGGCGGAGCTGCGGCGAGGACGGCGAGGCGACGAGGACGTCGGCAGAACCAGCACCCCGTCTCCCTCTCTTCTCCTTCTCCTCTCTTCTCTCCCTCTCTTCGAATTCGACCCAAATTTCGACCTACGAAATTCGAGCACCCACCTATTTTTCTTATAAAATACCACCTTTGTTGACCACTTATTATTTAATTTTTTTAGTTCATTACAATTAAATTAAGAAAAATCAATTTACGTAACAAATTTATATGTTCATTCATAATTTAGATTTTTATATTGTTTTAAAATTCATAAAAAATAATTTGAAAAATTAAGACCTAAAATTCGAGAGAAGTGACATTTTAATGTGTCTTTATTATTTTTACTAAATATTCAGCCATTAATTAAAAAGAGATTTAGGCCAAGTTTGGGAACACTAAAAAAGTGTACTTTTTGTCTTTTTGGACTAAAAAATTGAAGTTGAAAATATGGATGTTTGGATTAATTTTTTGACTTTTTATTGAAAAATGTGTAATAAAAAATTGTAAAAATTGATTTGTAAGGAAAAATTTGAATTGGGAGTTGTGCAGCCGTAATTGTTGACTTTTGGTGAATAGTGTTAACTTTTTAACTTTTTGAGTAATTTTTTGACTTTTTAGCTTTTTTAGAAGTACCCAAACCTTAAATGTCAACATTTTTTAGATTTGATTGAAAAAAGAACTCAAAAAATATTTAGAATGTTCTTTAATTCAAGAATTTTGAAATTAAATGAAAAAAAAATATGAGATTACAACCTCATGACAAGACCCTTATCAATTATCTATGCTATAAAGTACCTACTTTACAACTACACCTGCGAACAAATGAATGCACCTAAACTTGTCACAACTTTATAACTCATCTTTATTATTTGACCTAACAAGAAGGTTTGATAGTTTAAATTTTTATGATTTGATTTGAATAGGTTAAAATCGCGTCGTTTTAGAAATAAAATGATATGGTCGTAGGTTAAGTTTGACAATTTTAAAATAATTTATTTTTTTAGCATATTATTTTTTTATTTTTTTGCACATTTTTTTGTTAAAAAATAAAAAATACATTTATTTAGGTCATTCCAAACAACCCCTTAATATATTCAAGCCATTTGAACTATATGAATTTGAGTTATCAAATATTTTTCTTGACTTAATGCATTGACACCCCTCGATTATTAACAAATACTATTTTATATCTGATTTATAAACTCTAAAAAATATTAGGTTTCATGTAAAAACTTCACAATGATAGTTATGCAAAAATCTCTATCTTTATACTACACATTATAATTTATTGCATACGTGATCTAAGGGTCAAATTTTTTTTATGATTATCTTCAAAAAATATTTTTTAAGATACCTAGGATCGCTCAACTCATATACGTAGACCCCTTAACTATAAAAATCTTTCAAAATACCTTCATTTTGAAAGTGATATGGTCTGGAGTATGAGTAGACAAGTATCGGATTAAGCCGAAATAACTCTTTATTTCAAGCTTAATTTGAAAATTAAATGGATTCAAATTCTTAGCTTAGTCTGATCCTATGAACTAAGTTTTCGTCTGACATCTTAATTTTGGGCTAAAATAGTCACAAAATAATAAAAATAGGTTAGAAAGTTAAAAGAATAAAATGTCACATTGAAATCATAATCATTTCATTTTTTTTTTCACAAAAATTAAAAAAAATAAAAAATTCATTTCAAACAAGAACTTTTTAACTCAAATTAAAATAGTTAAAAAATTAAAAAATTAACTCGTATCCCAAACAAATCTTAAATATTTTTTTAAAATCCTAAAAATATTGAGTTAGAGCAGGCTAGTTGGAGAGGTCTTCTGGCCCATAGACAGTATGGATGAAAGTAATATATTATAGTTAAAGTTAAAAGCTAATAAGGCCCGTTTTATTTTGGGGTTAAATAGACGAGAGAAGATTAAGGTGGAGGTGGTGTTATTTAGGTTTAATTTGGCATAATCTAAAAAAGTTAAAAAGTTAAAAAGTCACTATTATTTGTAAGTCACATTATCTTATTTAAATCATATCATCTCTCTACCATATCACTTCAAACTTAATCCATATTTTACGTTTTTTCGTAAAAAGTCAAAAAGTATACTTATTTAGATCATCTCAAATAACCCCTTAGTGTTGGGTTTGTTTGTAAAGTTGGAGAGAGGATTAAGATGGAGGAGGTGATATAGATAGAGATTGGAAAGGGGATTGAGATAGAAGAGGTGGAGATAATATTAGAAAAATAGTGAGGAGATTAGAATTTTTTTTATTTTTTATATATTGAGAATTTTTTTTAAATATTAATGTTTAATTTTTTATATTTTTTTATTTGTTTTATTATTTTATATAAAAATAATTTAATAATTCCTATACTAATAACTATCATTAAAATAAACATAACTTTACTTAATCCTTTCATTATAATCTGTTTCATTCTACGCTGAAAACAAACGAGCCTAAATGATGAAGTAGAGTGACGCTCGTTAATAGTGTAATAATAAACCCTTATTATCTCTAAAACAAAACTACTTTTGTTTTTTGTGTGCTAGTGTTTGTTGCGAAAAAACAGCTCTCTGTTTTGCTTTTGTTTCTTCGTGAAAATGAAACAAATGAGATTTGATTTGGAAAACAAAAACCCATTTTCATTTTCATTTTCATCATCACCACCAACTCAGAAACGCAGTCTTGTTGTGAAATTTGCTGTGTGTTTTCTCTTATTGGGTCTCGCTTTTCGCCTATTTTCTTCAAGCTTTGTTCAGTTCTCACCGGAGACTACTACTACGGATCCATCACTTGCTCTGGAAGAGAAGACATTGCCTCCTCCGGCTGATCTGGTTTCCGGTCACTTTCCGGTGAATGAAACTCAAGATTCTCAAAATGGTGAGTGGATTTTGTTTCTTATTCAAAGTAAAGAGGGTAAGATTATATTTTCCATCATACAAATTGCCATTTCTTTTTTTTTTTTTTTTTTTTAACTTATTGTTCCTTCTTTTGAACATTTTTTATTCTATTTTTGAATATGAATAAAAGTAGACTCAGTGCACGAGATTCCAGTTAAGAACGAGACATTGTCACCTTCCGCGAATGAATTACTGGTTTCCGGTGATTTTTTGGTGAATGAAACCAAAGTAACTTTTTCATTTTTAATCAAATTTTGATTTTTTTATTTTTTGAGAAAATGGTAAAAAATAATTTTTTGACTTTTAATTAAGTTTTTGATTTTTTTAGATAAATAATTTGGAAAGTTGGTAAAAAATTATTTTTTTATTTTTTTAATTAATATTTGTCTATGATATCAAATCATAATAAAATGACTAAATTATCCCATTTAATTTAAAATATTTACAACTTCACTCATGTAACACATTCTGACTCATGAGGGATATAATTGTAATTTCATCAGTGGCTAAAAACTAACTTTTCAAATGAAAAAAAATTAAAAAAAGTCAACTTTTAACTTTTGCTATAAATCAGTAAGAAGTAATTAAGAGCCAACTTTCCAAAACAAGCCTAAAGGTCCGTTTGACAAATTGGTTTGTGGCTATTTTAGTTACAAAAGACAAAATTGGTTATTTTAACAATAACAAACAAAATATTACATCTAATCCATAATCATTACACTCTTCTCTCACAAAAAAAAAGTCAAAAAGTCAAAATTTTTCCAAACCAAGCTTTTTAATCCAAGCTAAAATAGCCCATAAAGTCAAAAAATCAAAAAACCAATCCCCTTTCCAAACGGAGGTTAAGAATGATGAGTAGAGTTTGTTTGTTGTATTTTTTTCCCCTGTTTCTTAAGGCCATGCTTGAATCACAAAATTCAAATCACACTGTGTTTATTTTTTCTCTTATTAAATTTTATTTATTTATTTTATTTTATTTTTTAAATTTTTTTTGGGGTGATTTTTCTACTTATTGTTCCTTGTTGGAGGGTTGGTTTGACCATTTTTTATTTTTATTTTTATTTTTATTTTTATTTTTCTTACATGAATAAAGTGATTTTGGCCTCGTTTGTGAACATGTTAATTTAGTAATTTTTTGACTATTTGACTAAAATATGAGTTAAAAAAAACTAGTATATTTGGGATGACTTTTTGACATTTTACGAAAAGATGTGCAAAAAGTAGAGAGAAAAGAGAATCTTTGACTTTTTGGTATGGGTTGTTGACTTTTTGACTAATTTAATAACTTTTTGACTAAAAAGGAGGGTTTCCAAACGAGGTCTTAGTACACAAAACTCGAGTTAAAACAGGGTTGAGAAGAGTAAAATATCAATTGATCTGTCTTTTATAAATAAATAGAAGAAAAATATATGGCTTTGTTCGGTTTGTTTTTCAAAAAAAATTTTGAAAAAAATTCTCTACAAACAAATTTTTAAAAGTAATCAAACTAAACAAATTTTTCTGAAAAAATCTCAAGTTTTTTTTTTTTTTCATAACCGTTTCTCAAAAAAAGCAAACCAAACAAGTTTTCGTACTTTTTATCTCAAAAACTACTCTACAAACACAAACCAAATACACCCATAATGTTTATGTTCTCCATGTTTGGTGGTTGGTGGTGTTGAGTTTGATAGGAATGTTGTGAGGTTTGTTGTATTTTTATTGTACACCTATATATATACTATTTTTTTCGTTTTAAAATATTAGTTTCTTATTTTATTTATTTTTATCTTAAAATATTAGTCATTTTTTAAAAATTAGGTACAAAAATAATATAAATTTTTTATTTTGCTTTTCTTTTAAATTCATTAACAATATAAAATGTATAATTATGTCATTGACATTCTTTAAAAAAATGTACTATCAAAGTATAATTCTGAAAAATCAATTTATTTAAATTATAATAATTGTACAATTAAAAAAAAGGTTAGATTTATCAAAAGAGACCATTATTTTGGGAGAGTATAAAAGATTTTTTACGCAGTGATTTAGAGCGATCGAGTTGAGAGATTCAAAACCCTGTAATCTTCATTCAGCATGGTGGATTTGATCTCCTCTTAACTTGAACATATTTAGAAGTTCCCGAACATCCTCTAAATTCATTTGTGTTGAACTGAAAATAGTTTCTTTGGCACAATTTAAGCAGAATTGAGGTTGTATACAATTGTTCTTTCTATTTGGTTGGTGGTATTTTGAGTTATTAAATACTGGTATATCTTTAACTATACTGTAAATGGGAGCCCTGTGCACTGGACGCGATCTTTTTTATATCTTTGTTTATATCTCTACTCCTCTCTTTGAATTGGTTTGTGTTAAACTAATATTAGTTTCACTTGATAATCTAGTCACAACTGAATGCGATATATTTACCGGACATTGGATTCCAGATCCGTCCGGTCCATATTACACTAACCAGAGCTGCCGCGACATTGAAGCTCATCAAAATTGTATGAAAAATGGCCGCCCTGACTCGGAGTATCTCTACTGGAGGTGGAAGCCACGGGACTGCGAGTTGCCCAAGTTCGATCCAAAGAGGTTTCTAAATTTGATGCGAAATAAATCATGGGCCTTCATCGGTGATTCAATTTCACGCAATCATGTTCAATCTTTGCTTTGCACTTTGTCACAGGTAACATTTCAAATTTCTCAACAAAAGAAAAAAAAAAAATGCAATACTTGTTTAGTAATTTAGATTAGCCACTAAAATTTCTAATTTGTGCTTGGCTTTGCTAGTTGTTTATTGATAATGATTTTCTGTTTCTCTAATTACCGGTGCACACAATTATTGCAAAATTTCTAGGCAAAAATGGTGTATGAAAATTTTGATTTGTACTTGGAAAATTTCTTGTTTGAGTGCACAACCAAGTGACCCGGGCTCTAATCCAAGTAGTCATGAGGAGGCACCTGAGATCTCAGGTTCAAATTAATAGAGTGGCATCAGCCTGCTGTAGTAATTTAATTCTACTAATCTTCTAACATCCTAACATAATAATAATAATAATGTACAACTACTAAAGCATATAGGAAACATTCGGTTTTTTGTTTGAATAAACGTCGTTCTTCATAAGAATAAGAATTCAGTTCTATGAAATAAAAGTTTCATGAAAATTGTGTATCATTGAGAAACATGTTTTCTACAAGTTTTTCCACTTATGGAGTGAGTAAATAATCAAGTTACGAGTCTTGATCTATACTAAACGCAACTACACATTAAGTTATTTAGGAATAATTTGGCATCAAGGATTGCGAAATTGATGAAGTTTTACTAAATATTTTGTGCAGGTGGAAGAAGCAATTGAGGTCTACCACGACAAGGAGTACAAATCTAAAAGATGGCATTTCCCTTCTCATAACTTTACTCTTTCAGTAATTTGGACCCCGTTCCTTGTAAAAGCCGCTATTTTCGAAGACATTAACGGGGTTTCATCAGCTGCCATTCAACTACATCTTGACAAACTCGACACGTTATGGACCAAACAATACAAGAATTTTGATTATGTAATAATTGCCGGGGGGAAATGGTTTCTTAAAACCGCGATCTATTATGAGAACAACACAATCCAAGGTTGCCATTATTGCCCCAGTAAAAACCTAACAGAGTTAGGACTTGACTACTCCTATCGCAAAGCCTTAAAATTTATTTTCAAATTCATCACGAGTTCAAAACACAAAGCACATGTATTCTTTAGAACTGCCACGCCGGATCACTTTGAGAACGGAGAATGGTTTAGCGGGGGTTATTGCAATAGAACCACGCCATTTGAAGAAGGCGAGGTTGCACTAGACAACATTGACACGACAATGCATAACATTGAGTTAGAAGAGTTTGAGGAGGTAGTGGCCATGGGGTCTGCACAGGGGATGAGTTTGAAACTATTGGACACAACGCGTCTTTCGTTGTTGAGACCAGATGGGCACCCGGGGGTATATAGGCAATTCCAGCCCTTTGCCGCGGATAAAAATGCTAAAGTTCAAAATGATTGTCTGCATTGGTGCTTGCCTGGCCCGATAGATTCATGGAATGAACTAGTGATGAAAATGTTGTTAAGTGCTTGAGAATTACGATTTTGGATTATTGTGATCTTAATGATCGAGAAAAATAAAGGCGAGTCTGACAGTGGCGGCTAGAATTACTGCCAGAAAATACCGGTCTGGTACTGAAGAATGAAAATGGAAGCAGAGGGCTACTTATTTCTGAATTATGCATTATACCAATGTTTTGCATTTCACACACACAGGAGTGAATATCAGAAAACAGATTGACTGGATATAGAGGGACATTAATTGTTACTCTTTGTAAGAGAGTATGGTGATTAGATTTCACTTTTGACGTTCTTGTAACTTCAAGCATGTCCATGTTTTTTTTTTTTTGAGAATGAAATGATACTTTTTGTGTGAGAATAAGTTTCCAATTTCTTTTTAAAGGAAATCAAAGAGGTAGTTGGCAACGATTGATTCCAAAATCGAAGCTGGCTTTGTTAGTAGAGGTGGCTTAATCATTAAACAATTTAGTCGGTTGTTTACGACTTATTGTCGAAAGTTTCAAATTTTAACAGGCATAATAGAATAAAACTTTATTTTAACGTTTAGTTTGAGGCATAAAAAATCCTATTGCTACTATGCAGACTCCATTCCCCCGTATATCATCTTCTTCTTTGCTTTCCTCTCTTCAATGGCTAACAACTGTGTGGGTTAGTTACATTTTTGGTCACTAAATATGAGATTTGTGTCATTTTGGTTTTATTGTATTTAAATTGTGTCAATTTAATTTTTAATGTATGAAAAAATGTTTCAATTTAGTCTCTAGTGTTTAAATTGTGTCAATTTAGTTCGCAATCTATAAAAAATTAATGTTTCAATTAAGCCTCTCAATTTAATTCGGTTGACCGATACAATTAAAAATGTGAAAACTCATTTAAAAAGTTACTCTTTTAATCCCAAAAATATATGATGTGTCATTTAAGTTAAAACTTACTTTAAAAAAGTACACTTTAGTCTCCAAAATAGATAATCTATGTCATTTTGATATATAAAATTACACATTTATTCTTGACTTTAACGACATTTATTAATGGAATTTGGTTAAAGAATCAAATTAAAACATCTTTTTAATATATTAGGGGCTATATTGATACAATTTAAATATTGAGAAATCAAATTAAAACACTTATTATATATAGATAAGTAAAATGATACAAAACTCATATTTTGGTGAGAAAAAAATTTGTAATTAACACTTACAATATGCTTTTCTGCATTCTTTTTGTATGTCTTCTTTTGCCTAACCTTTATCATGATTTTGGGCCGAAATTGGGCCCATTTTGGTGCAGCCCATAGTGGTAAATTTTAGTGGCATCGAAATATAATTCGTTCCAATTGAGTTCCAAAGATTAGTGATATTCTTGTATAGGCAAATTACACTAAGGTCTAGTATGGGAAGCCCTAAATAATCTATCTTTCTATCTTTTTTTTTTTTTTAATCACATTATCTCTTTATTTTTTTGCACATCTTTTTGTAAAATGATAAAAAGTACACTTATTTAGATCATCCCAAACAATCTCTAACTGTTACTGTAATTTAGAATTTGTATTATTTTAATTTTTGATCTTTTAATTATGATACATTTAATCTTAAATTTAAAATCTCGTTTTAAATAAGAATAATTGAATACAATCCTGTTCCACTTCAAGAGCAAAGTTGTTAATTTGATAAAATATAAACTAATTTGACAATATAAATATCAAAAAATTATTTCTACCCACCAAGAATAAAATTATATAAAAATAATAAATCTTTTATATTTTTATTTTTTTACCAAATTAATTTTTAGTATGTGTTTAAATGATAATCATGTAATGAGTGATAGTTTTTGTTAATATTTTTGGATGGTTATCTATGTATCTATATCTATACTATATATATAATCAAATGTAGTTATATTGGCAAAAGTCTTCAAATATTCATTACTAAATTCTTATAATATTAAAGTTCTCTCTTTCCTACGTAGCAACCCTCTTTGATTGTCTTTCATGTTTTCTATTTTCCTCCATTTTCTATTTGTTTGATTAATTAAAATGAAAATTAATTTCATGGTGTATTGGCAAAAGTCTCCAAATATTCATTCTTAAATTCTCTTAATTTTAAAGTTTTCTCTTTCCTACGTGGCAATTGATTGTCTTTTATGTTTTCAACACTCTTGGATTGTCTTTCATATTTTTTATTTTCCTCCATTTTTTATTTGTTTGATTAATTAAAATGAAAATTAATTTCATGGTCTATGAATAAAGATTTGAATTTCAAAATTCCTCCATATAGGTAAACATATAAAAATTAATAAATAATTTATGAAAATTAATTTCATGGTCTCCAGATAAAGATAAAAATTAAATAATTAATTTAAAAAAATTAATATCATATCTTATAGATAATTTAAAATTTCTTCCCATAAATGAACTTATAAAAATTGATAAATAACTTATAAAAATTAATTTCATGACTTATAGATAAAGATAAATGTTAAAAAATTGATTTTAAAAAAATGATATTACTCCTTTTTTTGCCCTTCATTTTGTATTTTAATTAATTTTATTATAGATAAACATATAAAAATTCATAAATAATTTATGAAAAATTATTTCATGACATGAAGACAAAGATAAAAATTAAAATAATTATTTAAAAAAAATTGATTTCATGACTTATAGATAAATAAACATATAAAAATTGATAAATAATTCATAAAATTAATTTCGTTGTCTATATATAAAGATAAAGATTAAATAATTGATTTTCTTCATTTTCTATTTGTTTAATTAATTAAAATGAAAATTAATTTCATGGTTTATGGATAAAGATTTGAATTTCAAAATTCCTCCATATAGGTAAACATATAAAAATTAATAAATAATTTATGAAAATTAATTTCATGGTCTACAGATAAAGATAAAAATTAAATAATTACTTTAAAAAAATTAATTTCATAACTTATAGATAATTTAAAATTTCTTCCCATAAATGAACTTATAAAAATTGGTAAATAACTTATAAAAATTAATTTCATGAGATAAAGATAAATGTTAAAAAATTGATTTAAAAAAAATTGAAATTACTCTTTTTTTTTTACCTTCATTTTGTACTTCAATTAATTTCATTATAGATAAACATATAAAAATTCATAAATAATTTATGAAAAATTATTTCATGACCTATAGATATAGATAAAGATAAAAATTAAAAGAATTATTTAAAAAAATTGATTTCATGACTTATAATTAAATAAACATATAAAAATTGATAAATAATTCATAAAAATTAATTTCGTGGTCTATAGATAAAGATAAAAATAAAGATTAAATAATTGATTTACAAAAAATTAAAACAATAAAATTTAAATAAAGATATGATTTATTAATCTGTATCTATCAAAAACATATCTATCTAAATCTTTATTTTGATTTACTTATATTTTTTTCTCCTTCTATCACATATTATCCTTTTTTTTATTTTGAATTTTTTATCTTATGAAATGTCATTATTTATAACTTTTATCTCCTATTAAATTCTTAACATTCTCTTTATAATTTTTATTATTCGTTATTATCTACCAAGTGATAAAGATATAAAATAAAATAAATAGTTGGCTCTAAATGAGAACAATATTAATAATGAAATAATGAAGGCTGTAAGAGAGGAGGCAGCACAAAATTTCACAAAATTAATTTTCTTCACTATATTTATCCAGGGTAATAATTTGATGTTCTTTCTTTTAGTTGTTAAAAATAATATGTATTAGATCATTGCTATGTATTTTTTCTTTTTCTTTTTCGTTTTTTTTATAAGGCTGTCATTTGTTATAATATTTCTTCAATCCCATCCTAAATTCTCTCTTTGAAATTTTTGTTTTTTAAAAATAAAGTTTATAACCAATTTCTTATTAAATTTGTTTTCTCGGTACTTATTTTATTCAAAGATCGAGACGAGTAAAACTTTAATATGATATAAATTAATAAATATAATACAAAAATGGTAGGAAAGTACTACATATTTGTCAATATCTCTCTGTTATTATTAGTTGATTAGATTATATTATCAATTTAGACTCCATATAATTTAAGTCAATGTCCATGGCTTTAGTTCCATTCAATCATTTTTTTTATTGAGTAACATATATAATGTTTTTGTTGGTATATAATGATTAAGTTATCATTTATTATATTTCTTCAAGAACAATTCAAATAATTTGTCATCATTTTTTTAATAAATAAAATGGATTAAAAATATTTTCTTATATAATTTTTATAATCTTACGAAATTCTTATCTTGATTTAAGCTTTTTAAATGTTATAAGAACTATGTAAGTATTATTCAAGTTATGGAGAAAATGATTATGGAGAATAATTTATATGTATGTGTCATTGATAGAGGAAATCAAGATAGAGAGTGCGAGGGTAATTTATAATTAGGCCGAGCTAAAGGCCTTTTTGTAAGATGGGCCGCATAAATGGGCCGGGTAAAGGGATGACATAACCCGGTCTTTGAGCTAACGAGTTGGACCCAGGCGAAGTTGGACCGAGCTAAGCATCGCGCATAGTAGCGCCGAGCTAAGGCCGTCACTGGGCATGGTTCGATCAGTCTGAAGTAAATAGCTCAGTTGGAGTATGCCTAACTGAGGTACAAGCGGTGAAGGAAAGACCCGAGCTAGGCAGAGCTCGGTCTAACCTGCCACTTGAGTGTGGCAGCACTAGCTCGGTTGTTTGGTCATACCATCGAGCTAGAACCATCTCACTTGGTTTATGCAATGAGGGGGGTGTGAAAGGATAAGCATTATCTTTCAGGAGTGTGATTCCTAGGAGGACTCTACATGGAGGAATAAGAGTCCTACTAGGATTGTGCTATGCGAAACCTATGAAAGCTCATATCACCACCTATGTAGAGGTAACACAACTTTGATTCCTGAATACACAGAGCTTTTGTCTATTTATTTATTTTGCTGACTTAGGCATCGGAGAGGTATCCGGCACACACCCGCCGGCTAGCTCATGTTTGTGTTTTCAAGGAATAAAGCGACGACGTTTGGAGGAGCGCCGACTTGATCAACAGGATTATACGAGAACATTATTTCTTGCTCGTACAATTGACGCCGTCTGTGGGAATTCCAGAAAGAACAAAACCTCTTGATCAAGTTTTCCTTGCTAGTTGGAAGTAATGACGCACAATGAAGACTTGCCGCAGTCTGCCATTGATGGGCAAACCCCGGAGGGGGGTGGGAGGTGCGAAGGTCTGCCCTTTATCCCTTCCATGGCTGATTTAAAGCCTCAGTGACAAAACCCCCGGAGGGATGCAAGGGGGAGGTGGGCTAACAGCCCCCGTTGCTCTCAAAGTCCTGAACGACAGAGGC